TTCCTCAGCCATCTCTATATTATAGAATCCTGAGGTGAGATCCATCGCACTGAATATGGCATTGCCTCCGAGTGCAGCTAGACAATCTGCCTGGTGTGGTAAGGGGTGGGCGTCTTTAGTAGTGCGGGTGTTCAGCCACCTGTAGTCAACACAGATGCGCAGATCTCCACTTTTCTTCCAGACGAGCACTAGCGGAGAGGCCCATTCACTGGAGGACTTGCGGATGATCTCGCGTTCCTCCATCTCTGAAAGGACCTGTCTGAGCTTGTGGTAATGTGCTGGTGGCACACGTCGATAAGGAAGCCTAAAGGGCCGATCATCAGCAAGATGTATTCGATGGAAGAGATCTTTCGCCCTCCCACAATCCAGTTTGTTTTTCGAGAAAACGTCTTCATACTTGCATATCAGCTGCACAAGCTGTTCCTTCCAATGCTGGGACACTTCACAAGCTTCTATGTCGAGGTCGCCAAGGCCAAGTATGTTCAGTCTGTCAAGAAAACTTAAGTTAGCAGGCACACTGTTAACATTCATATCAAGGATATTTTGATTGAAGGCTTTCAGCTCATGACTGGCTGGATGTTGGGGGCTTATGTCCAGATCCTCTAAAGCTATACAAGGAAATACATCAACCAACTTTGTGTTCTGTTACAGGGTTACAGGCTTGTCGCTACCATTTAGAACCTTGACTGGCACCCATCCGTCATTGCCCATTGATGCGACAATTGACAATGTGACAATGTTCTTGTGTGAATGTGACTTTGAAGGCTCAACCACGATAGCGCTTCCCTCGGAAACAGGTACAGTAGCAGGTAACTTGGCCCAAACAAGGTGTTCTTGCTGGGGACACAACACTACAGCTTGGGTAAGTTTAGCGGTCCCTACTTTACTGGGCATTTCAGTGCCTTTCCATCTGTGGAGGCCAGACAACATGTCCAAAAACTGTGTGATTTCATCACTTTCCGAACTTTCAGGTCAACTTAAGACACGCCAGTACCCCTGTAGATTTTTCATCTGTCTGATAATGTACTTGATGACATTAGTACCCAGGATGATTTCGTCTCGCTGACCAGGAACAACTAAAGTGGGAACACTGACCACATGTCCATACACTTCCATCTCAAGCTGGTAAATACTTTCAGGCTGAATGCTGATACCGCCACAACCAACAAGGATGATATCAGGATGCGTTTCACTGGGTTCAAGCACGACTCCTGCACTCTTCAACTTGCGTTCGGCCTCCTTGTTCATGGTACAGGCCATGGACCCACTGTCGAGGAGTGCACGTAATATAACTTGGGCCCCTACAATGCAAACATCAGTGTAAAACAGGCTGTCGGCTCTTTCCAGCTTCATCACATTTTGATATAGGACACTTTTATCAGGAATTGCTTTGCAGCTTTCTTCATACAACAGAAGATAATCTTTGTCGCTGAGGGTTTCACTCTTCCTGCTCACATTGTCCCCTCTCCAATGC